ATATATTGTGTGTGTGTGTGTGTGTGTGTGTGTGTGTGTGTGTGTGTGTGTGTGTGTGTGTGTGTGCTTTTTCGTAAAGCACCTTAACTGAAAGAATCGTATTTTTGTTACCTTGTGTGTTACTAAAGGAGATATAATAAGCGATATTTTTTTCCCAGGATATTGCAACACCGCGAATTTCTTTATTTCCATACGTATAATTTCCAAACCTTTTGGACTTGTGTTTTCCTTCTGTGCTGGAGACACAGATTTTAGAGCCTATGTTATTCGTATTTTCTACGTATATGTCACAATGTAAGGCTAATGCAATATTTCGCTTCTTTGATATTTCGCGTTTGAATAAATTAAAAGTTGCCCTATTATTCGCAACTTTCACAATATTCAATATATTCCAATCTATCGTTTCGTTCAACAAATCTTTCTTGTTATCAGATAATGTGACTTCTATCTTCGATTTTACATTTTTATTCGATTGCATCTCATGTTGCTTTCTCTTAAAAGCTAATTTCGAATTATTCAACGCTTCATCTTCAGAATTACATATAATGCTATCTGCACTACAATTCGCAGAGAATAAAAAATTTTGTGCTAAAGTTTCTTTTACGTCTGCTTTCGCTTTACATTCTTCTTCTTTTATTTGAACCTCCACTATCTCATTTGATAATTTTTTTATAGGGGAATTTAAATGATTATTTATTTCTTCTATTGTATTCTCGACAAGTTTCTGTGATCGAAGTTTACGTATTTTCTCCAACGTCGTCCTCGTTCGATTTTTATTACTACTAAACGGAGATTCAAAGTGCTGCGAGCCAACAATAAAATCGTCCGAGTCGGATTTGTTTGAATCCGCGGACGTCTTCCGTTCTTTTCTGAAAACAGTTATATTTGCCACAGGAGAGTCTACTTCTGTTACTTTTGACAATTTAGGTTTACGTGATATTTTTTCCTTAATTGTAGTAAATTTTTTAACATTTGTCCTACGTATGCCTTCTTTATTATTTTGCATGCAAGTTTTCGCATTTTTTGGCGTAATAGATATATTTGTATTTACAATGTCTTTAATTTTGGGATTGGATATTTCTTTTTTAGATTGGATTATATTTTGATTGTGAGCAATCTGTTTTAACAATCCCTCGGAATTGTTCCACGAATCGTCAACCCACGATATTACACTGTTTCTCAATTTTAAATTACTTATGTCTGTATCTTTGACATCTTTGTTATTTACTTCATGCGATTCCACATTGCCAGTATTTGAATTTGAGTTTGTATGTATTTGAACTTGAGGTTTTTTTGTGGCGCATTTAAGGCATCCAATTCGTTTGCTTTAGATTCTAATTCCGACAGATGCGCGATATTCATGACATTTTGTTCGAGAATATTGCATATTTGAGTGTCAAGATTCAAACTGTCATCGAACAAGCTAGGACTTCTTGAATATGACAATTTAGCATTTCGATCCATAATAGATATATTTATGTTTTTGTCTGTTAAATATTCATTATTTTTTATTTCATTCGTGCTGGAAGGTTTGAACCTTTTATTGAGTGAATTATTATTTATCGAACTGATTGTTTCTAAACATTCGTGATTTCTCTTTGGCTTAATATCAGTCATAAAAGAATTTTTTTTTCTTCGTAAATATCTAAATGTTCATAGTTTATATCAGGAGAACTTAGATTGAGAAAAGTAGATGAATCTTTATTTTTTTCTGAAACTTCAGGTGACAAAATAGTTTTATTTAACTGTTGATCGTTCAATTCAACTATTTCTTTTTTATCGGAAGCATTGATTTCTTTACATACATTAGGTATCGAATCATCATTTTTCTTATTCTCGCTACTCGTAGGATTTCTATATGCTGACTTTTTTATGATAGATGTTTTTATTTCCATAGATTTTGAGTTCTCTATATCCAAATCCGCCTGAATTTGTTCCTTTATGTCAGATTTATCTTCATCATCTTTGACGTATGTATTTACTTGCAGAGATTGTTCATTCTGTTCCCATGGCAGTTGTTCCAGTCCCAATTCTTTCTATAATTATTATTTTATTGAAGTGGATGATAGCGTATTTTCACGTATAAAATAAAATAATAAATTTGATAATTATACAAACTTGAACAAATGATCGTGCCTCTTGAACTAACAAAATCGCAGCTTGTTGAGGTGTGAGACCATCTCTTCCAGTGACAAATACTGTTCTCATTTTATTTCTCTTTTCTACTTCAAATGCATATTCTCCTTCGCATTCTTTTTCGCTAAAGTATAAAAATATGTAAAAAAATCTAGTAAATATAGTAAATAAATATAACAGTATAAATGTATAAATGTACTCATGTATGATATGTACTCATAACTCGGATTTGATGTTAAATACGTATATAATCCTAAACCCAATTTATTACATGCAATACAATTTTCATGCAAGAAATATAAGAATCAAGTAGCCTTGTTTATTATTAAATATATTGTGTGAGTACACATCTGTATGTTTATAAAAGATAATTTATATATAAAAGAATATAAAAGATGAGAATTTTATCAATTTTAAAATTAATAAAATTCTCACCTTTCAAAAGGAAGAGCATTGTAAAGCGCGCGTTCAACGTTAAGTTCATTGGCAATGGCCAAATCTATTACAGTTTTTATTCCTTGTTTATATAAACTTCTTGCTCGCAAACCGTTTAACATCGGCAAGCGCAGCAAATCTAGCAATTCCCTGCAGACGCCGAATTGCAATCTCGTTTGAAACTGACTCATCAATAATTCCATGCAATCCCAACCTAATTGCTTGCAAAATTGTGTAACCATACCTAAGAGAGAATCAATACATGCTATAGAAAATTCGCCCAATTTATTTCATTATCCATTTATTCGCTTTATCAATTTACCCGCGTATGTGGCAGCGGACTGCTGTAAGGTTTGCAATACTCCGCGACAACATCCATATTTTTTACAAACCACATGAAGTGGTACCTCTCTTACCAAATCATGTAATGCCAATGCGCTGTAGAATCTCTTATGTATATTTAACTGTGATAGAAAACATTTATATTAACATACTTTTAAATATGAATATCGATTCTATAAAGTATTTCATATTTTTCATATCTATAATAAATGATATGAGGATCAATTACCGTCTTTCCAGATTTAATAATTCCTCTAATAGCTGACAATACGAAACGTTCTTCAACTCCAACGAGTTTTCCAACTCTGCGTTCGCTTTCGGATATGGTATTCCACATTTCATGAAACGTCATCCAATCGACAGTCCCAATTTGACATCCGGACGAAAGTGGTGTTACCAAATATATTATGTGCAATTCCGTGTCCAAAACAAAACACTTTCGTGCTTTCTGTAACTCTTCAAACAGAAACAATCCTTCTCTGGGAGGTACAGATGCGGCCAAACATGCTTTTCCAAGTGGCGTTGCTATCCACCTGGATTCTCGTTCCGTAGTTTGTAATCTACCCAAATAAAATTATACAAATTAATTTTTCTTGATTGAAAAAAATAATCAAACGATATATTTAATTTTATATAAAGAGAATTGTAAGTTAAATTGTAAACTAACAATAGAAATTCATTATCCAGTAAGAATTTCATTGCTTCATTGGAAAAAGTTCGCACATCAGATTCTTCACTCAAACTTAATAAAGTACAGTTAATATACAGTTCTAAATCTTTATGTGTGTACAAAACTTCGCTAGCTACTGCTTCTAAGAGCGCTCTTATTAATAGTGCAGAATCATTGAGACAAGATTCAATTGGATCCAGGATTGCAGAGAGTAATGATGTAGCTGCGTTACGTTCATTCGATTTACATATTAATATACTTTCTCCTGAAAAAATTAAAATTCTATTCAATATCTAGTCTAGTTTTTTAAAATAATTAAATTGTTAGTTATTCATATACATTTGAATATTTCATACCTGCGCTATCTTTTCCCATACGACCAGCACGTCCTATCATTTGTTTGTAAGTTAAAGTGTTCAGTAGATTGCCTCCAAATAGAGGTGATCTTATGATTACCCTTCGTGCAGGTAAATTCACTCCACTGCTTAATGTTGATGTTGCTATAAGAACTCTCAAGGATCCTGTCCTAAAGTAATAATGTCAAGTCTAAAATAGGATATAACAAAAAATTTTGTTCAATTAAACAAGAAAAAAATGATTACCTGAAAGATCCCTCTATGATATCACGTTCGTCCATCGTGAGTCCTGCATGATGAAACGCAATGCCGAATGAAATAGTATTTTTTAAAACGTTGTCCAAGCCACTTGGACTACGTTTTAACTGTTCCAGAGTTTCGAGGATTAATGTAGGATTGATTTCTTTTTTTAACACTTCACCAAGTTTTGTATTTTCACAACCTATTGAGATAAATGTAAGAATTTCTTTTTCATTGCTCTTTTACAGTTTTTGTATTCAAAATAAAATATATTGTTATACTTCGTACAGAAAATAAAACAATAAAACAATAAAACAATAAAAAATATATAAAATTCCAAAAAAAGGAAACAATTTCTGTTTATTCAAATTTGATGTGAAAATAATTAAAGATGATCAGACCTAACTTGAAAATGGCTGTAGCAATTTGTTCTGCCAATTTTTCACACCATTTCTTTGTAGGACAAAAAATTAAAACGCTATGACCTGCACTTATTGTCTCAATACAAAGCTGTAGAATATTATCTACATCTGTTTCTAATTCCTGTAATTCTGTTAATGTTCTGACAAGATTCAATTTATTGTCATATATATTCGCTCCTATCTAAAAATTATTATTTTAAATAATATATCAAAGATTTTGTAGATTATCTTAAGCAGAATATGCTATAAAAATTATAATTTTAAATAAAGATAAAAAATAATTTTTATAAGTATATATTTTTACCTTGCAATATTCATTCAAAGGTATAGGCCGAAATTCAGTCTTGTATAGCTCGGCATTTAGCCATTTGGCTAATAGAGGTAAGTTTGGCAATGTGGCCGACATACCTATCAGTTGTATATTAATGTCATTATTACTGCAACAAAACAAACATTAAATCACAAAAGACTTCCAATTATGTTATAGCTAAATTTGTAAATACATACTGGAGAGTCATATATTTCAACTTTGTTAGAAGTAATTCTAAAAGGTAACCACGATTAGGATCACCGAGTAGATGTAATTCATCTATTATCACAGCTCCTAAACTATCTAAGTCGTCTTCTTCCATTAAACGATTTACTAAAGAATTTGCCTTTTCTATAGTAGCTATTGCTACCTGCGTAGCAGCAAATCCACCGGGTGGAGTACTTCCTCCCATAAATCCCTCCACTCTTATTCCGATGTCGGATAACAAATCCTGATAAAATTTATCAATTACTTACAAGAAATATTTCATGATTTAAAATATAAGTGGAATCACTTGATTTTGATATATCTTACTTGAAAGTAATACATTTTCTCTCTAACTACAGAAACAAATGGCAAAATAAAGATCACTTTTTTCTTTCTTTCTAAAACAGTCTTAATTAAAAGAATTTCAGCAACTAGAGTCTTCCCTGCAGACGTAGGTGCAGAATATACAAGATTCTTTCCCTTTTGCATTACTTGCTGATTTGATAAGCACTCCACTTGCCATGCAAACATAGATTCTACTCCATGAACAATATATCTCTGAAAAATAATAATCATTAAAATATTAAATTTTGTCATATATAAATATAAAACATAGCTTATATCATATGAACTCTTGAAGAAGTATCATATAAACATAAAAAAATAAAAAATGATTAGAAATAAATTTAATATTAAAGACTAATGGAACAGAGTAATTTAAGTTTGAGAAATACAAATGGATAACAAATATTTATCATTTATCTTTTGCAAACATTTAGTTATAGCAGATATTTTAATATTTTATAACTTAATAACTACATTGACAATTTATTACAAAGATATTTTCATATTAATTCAAGACTTCAAAAATTGATATAAAATAAAAATATATCTTCTAATACATTTTATACATGATATAATTTAGAAATATTTATTAAATATAACATAATACCTGAAGAATACTTGGTGGCAAACCCCATGATGCCAGTTTACAACGGTCCTGAGTACAGACAGGTGGAGTCGAAATAATAAATTCAGAATTTTCTCCATCACATGTAGTATAAATACCCGATGAAATTTTGACATTGCTACTACCTGTTGCATCTTGTATATTATTAGACTTATTTTTATACAGATCTTGAGTACTAGATTTATCATATTTCTCTGCGTTATCCGATAGATATTTTTCTTTTAAATCGATTGTATTAACATTCTTTTTGCTTGTTTCACGAGGACTCCGATTTCTTTGGGATAATAAGATCTTGTCACCTCTCAAAACATTAGCGGCAGATGATAAACTTTTTCTGCTATTTTGGATTTGGGAAAAAATACTATCCTCGAAATACTTGACAAAGTCAGACGTGTTCCTCTCTTCTATCTTTTTCGTATCATGTGAAAAATCAGATAGTTTCGGTTTATCGTTATTCTTGTTTGCGTATCCTGAAAGCAATAAGTTTGATTTGAAATATTTACCCAGATCAACGTTCTCTTTCTACGAAACTTTACCTTTAATTTGTTCTTGTAGAATTCCGTGACTCTTTTCGATATTTATACAGGCGAATAGAGTGTCATCGCCAAAAGATTGCATTATTTCTTAGCGCTACAAGTGACTGCAAGTCCGTGCAAATCTTTTGACGGATCAAACAAGGCGATTTAAATCGTTTCGAGAGCAACGTTAATCAGCATTGCCACCAATCCAAACATACTTTCCCTTTTTACATTTGTATACAATACAAGAAATTTGTTGCGTTGCTTGCAGCTGTTACACTTTCTGCACTCGCACCTCCTTTCTCGTTTTATTTTTCTCCAAGGCCCGCATGTCTCGCTTTAAATGCACAAATACTAAACAATTATTTATATTACTTTTATTCCTTAAAATTTTCGATGCATATAAAGTAGAATCAATATTTGCAAACAATAAAGAAAGAAAAAACGAGAAAATAAAGTGTAGAAAGAGAGCAATACAAGCAACATTAATCAAGAAATCTCTATATTTCTCTAGACTTTTTTAATTTTATTTTGCATTCGAATAAATTTATTAATCTAATTAAATGAGTAACTTGATGAAACTTGTACAAATGATTTCCAAAATATTTTCCCTATTTTGACAATTAGAAAAAAAAACAAATATTTTTTCATTTCATTTCAACAAACCAATCACAAAACACTTTAAAACATCAACCACACAAGTAAATTGTATCTACACTCAAAGTGTACAATCTTTGATCTCCTCTCGTAATCTTTGCTCTTGGTTGTGACTGCGTTATGTTTGTATTTTGTACCGCATGACTGTTTGAAACACAAAATATATTTGTATAAAAATATATTTCTTCGTGAATATATTAATGAGAATATCGATATTATGGATGTGGATTTGCTCAGACCAGGCACCGTGCCTATTTCGCCGGACACGATATTATGGTTTGAGTTTTTACTAAACCCTTCGTTGCTGCAGAAACACTTGTCAAAACCCTTCCCAGGTAAACAAATTACTATGATTAATTGTAAATTGAAATATTTAAGAAATAATATTAAAATAACATTTTAAATATATAAATTATAATATATAGATATATTAAAAAAATTTTAAATTATATTTTATGATAGATGGAGTATACATAATATATATTCACAATATGTATACAATATGTATATGTAAATTTTCTTATATAAAAGGTTCACGATTTACATCGAATAAATAATATTAATTTTATATTAAAAATATTTTTTTATATTATACTTTTTAGATCCATCACCCACAGACTTGATAATAAAATTTATGACGATTAATTCTGATCAAAAAGAGACTGAGCCGAAAGCAATTGATACAGAACCAAATGATATAAAGCCCAATGGCACAAACAAATGGTCTCACAGAAATTTAGCATTAAAGATACTTTCTTTGAAAGTAGCAGCTTATCTCAAATGGGATTTGGATATACTAGAAAAGAAGTTACCTTTACCAATACAATTGACATTATTGCAAGACTTATTTTATATCGTTGCAGATGTTGTGACAGAAATACCTACAATTCCAGAATTCTTTACAGAAACCTCTGATCAGCTTTTGTTTACATTGGTTTTATATCATAGATGGCATTTAAGAGCTATTATTTACAGGGCTCTCAGTAATAAACAACCAAAACAACAGTTATTTCATATGTAAGTTTCATTACTGATTTGTTGTTATACTTTGAAATTATTTTATTATAAATTGTGAATAAAATGATTTTTTTACAAACTAGACCTGGTACTCAAGAATCGACGTATGTACCTCCAGGTATAGTAGATGATATTATTAGGAAATTAGAAGCACATATATCAAACAGTGTAAATGCTTTAAATAATATTTTACAAATGTCGGATATCAAGCCAAAGATTTTGTCTTTTGAAACTTTTCAAATGTTAACTGAGGATAGTACGGAGATCAAACAAAATTGGGAAAATATGTCTTTAGTGAACATAGATGAATTTAAATGTCAGGTATGAAATTTACAAACTGCGTGTATTCATGAAATTGACAAAGAATAATAGATTATTGATTTACTTCTTAGATACATTATGACCTTGCAATGTTTCACTTGTTGAGGGAAGAGTATCAAGAAGCTAAACGTCATATTAAACAAGCGAAGGAACTATATAATAATTTTAATCCGGCAGAAAAATTAACGTATTGCAAAGTGCAAAGAGAATTTTTGGACGGTTGTTGTTTAGCATGCGAAGTGCCACTAGAGGAAGTCAAGCCTACACTTACGCAACGTTTACATGCCTCTATCAAAGATCAATACACTGTAAGTATATTTTTGTGCATTTACATGTATATACTTTTGAATAATATATTTATACACATGCAAAATCTGCAGAATATATTGCAGATTTTGCAAGCAGATAATATTTTCAGAGAAATACCACAGGTTTATAGAGATAATTTGGAGTTGGATATACAAGGAGGATTAGTTAACAGGAAATTTGTGGTCGCCCGGGATCTTCTACTGCAAATAGAATGTTTGAATCTAGTTAGAAAAATCCTTGATAATAACATAATCTTGGGTGATTATATAACTGAAATTAAAGCAGCTGGAATGAAGGGTCTGGATATCTTATTCTGGGTAAATCCATATTTTTTAATATTTTCTAATTAAATATTCTTTGATTATTGGTATAATCTTTTTACTTTTTATAAAATAACTTTCCTCAACTTTTTGAATATATGTTAAATTAATAGTTACTATTCATATCATTTTGGATGAAATAATTTTCTAATAACAAATTTTAATTATTGATCATAGTGCTATGTTTTAGGCTTTAGATAATATCTTGGAAAAAGCAACGGCTATAGATAAAAAACGAATTTCACGTTATCTCCTTTACCTTGTAAACACTGCGAATATAGAAGGATTTGCTTTAAAGATACTCAACAATCCTTCTTATGAGTCATTGTTCGATGAAAAAGAACTTGTTGTTTTTCAACAAGCAGCTGTTTCTGATGAGATCGAAATACCAGACTTATTACTACATAATAACTGGGGTATACCATCTGTACCATATATACGTAAGTTTAAATCATATTTATCGTAAAAAGCAAGAAGAGAAATATTAAAAGATATTACTAAGACTTTATATTTCATGATCTTATACATTAATTTGAACATTTTTTTTTTTTGTTAAAACTTATAGAACAAGCAAGAGTTGAAGTGTTCGAGTTGGAACAAAAATTGATAGAATCATATGATTGTCATGTGATTCGTGAAACATTGATTCATTTGGACGGGAAACATCGAATGAAACCCTTATGGCATGTAAATAGTTGTTGGGAATTGCCCATTCCATTGCAAAGTGTATTAATGACAATTCCCAGAGGTTTCATTCAGGATTACTCATACGTTCTACTCGCGAAGAGTCGAGAATTAGTGTCTTCAAAAAATTTTGATGGTGCTATCGAGCTTCTCAAAAAATTGGATGAAGAGCTACAGGAACACGTGAAAAGTGGAATCTCGTTGGTCTTCAAGTTGTGCAAGTTGGTGAACTGGGAATGTCTACTCGTCGAAATATGGAAGTGTTTCCAAGTTTGGCCGGCGACGAATGTCTGTATGTACATAAAAAATTGAAAGCACCTGCGTGAACAAGGAGTTTACGATAGTTCGATATAGTTCGATGAGTACAACAATATTGGTTTTCAGGTGATGTACAGAGTATGATTGCACGGAGTAAACAGTGCCTTGGTGCATTACAAGCATCCGATCAGTTGATTCCGCGGCAAGAAATAATAGAATATTGTACAGTCTTTCTTCTTAATATGGCTGAATGGGATTATCTTACTAATATGGAAAAGCGTTGGAGTTATACTGAATTTGCAGCTGCCATCAGTAACGTTTGCCAAGATATTGTTAAGTATAAAGGGACCCGCAAATTTCCACGTGATGCGTGGGATATGAGTACGTATTTCTATTGAAATTACAGATTATTTGTAAAGTCTATACCTCGATTTTTGTGTATAATTGATGTTCGCAATTAAAAGAATAATTTTCCTTTAAACACAATTTTTGCATACTGTCTAATTGTATATATCGAAAATAAAAAATTAAAATAAGTTTTATCAAATAAAATTATGCGTTCTCATAGTTTTAGCAGCGTTTGGTCCTAATAGAGATCAATCACAAAAACGCAGCAGCAGTAGCAGTAATAGCGGTAATTCTGGTTCATCAAGAGATGTGGCCGCCAATATTGTCGTTACATTTACTCGGCTACGAGAACCTATGGTCCTCACTGTTGTGATATCATTATTGGCCCGTTTACGCAACGTCTTGCGTGATGAATCTAGTTTGGAGTTACATACGCAATATCTATCCCTTTGGCCTGCTGGAGTACCAAAGTGCGTTTATTGCATTATCGTTAATAATTTTAAATTCTAATAACGTTTTGAATATTAGCAATCTATTTAATGTTTCCATGATGTTTACAAAAATTTATATTTACAGTGCGAATTCTTATAACATCAGACATATTGGAGAATTATTGTTCCAATTATTAACGCAAGCTTTAAAATATTATCCCTGCAATGTGCCTTGGTTGAGATTAATGGGTGATCTTAATTTTGGTATGTGTCCTATTGTTAAATGAAAATATCAAGCACATATAATCACATTCTCTATATAATCTATAATCTCATCTCTTTTTTTCTAGTTTTGTCATATTATGAAAGTGCAATGAAATATTATTTAGAAGCTATAATGATAGCCAGCGATTTGTTTAGTCAACCGATACCACGCACGCAGATAGACGATCTTGTCTACAGAAGGATGATCAAATGCTGCGCTCATTTACAGTGCTACACTCAAGCGGCTGTGCTCTGTCAATTTTTGGAAGAGGTAGATTATTCTCTAGCATTCAAAATGGCAGCCAGCGATCAAAAAAGCTGTGCCGCAGCTGATGCTATGGACGCGTATTATCATTGCATCTGGGATACGACGATACTCGAATATCTCATACACTTACATACAAAGCGTGGAGAGCATCACAGAAAGCAACTTGCGGTAAGAATTAAGTTAATTAAATGTTAAAACAATAATGATTAAAGATGACAATTGTTTTAAATAATCGACATATAAGCAACTGATTTTTTTGGATTTTTTGGATTTACCATAAAAATTTTACTTTATAGATCAAAGTCATCGGTTTGTTGGAATTGAATTCTAACAATAATGAAGAGATCCAAAGAGAAGCGGCTAATATCCGTAAAGCTAAATTTTTAAGAGCTTTAGCAAAACAATATGTTTATTAGAATGATTGGAGCACTTTTTTTTTTTACATATTTATATATAATACCTGTATATGTACATCATTATAAACATCATGTAAAAATAAATATGTTGGATTAGATTGATTCATCATTTTTTTGTTAGAAAAATGCAAATATAACTACAAATTAAGCATTTCTATAAAGTTATATCAATAAAAACAGAATACAAAGGAAAGTTATAGCTTTATCTATAAAACATTTTTATAAAATTAGATAGAAAATACAATTGGAAAATGCTATAGAAACAAGTTACGATTTATGAAGCATAAATATTTGATATATATGAAATTATAACACGTCATGTATTTTTTTTATATATCTAGAAAATTTTGAATAAAAGATTGGCTTATTCATATTAGGAGCGGGAACACAGAACACAGCCATTTTGTTTCGCTAATTCCAACTTGAAATCATCAGTAGCGCTGAATATTGTCGCCCTCGTCTTCTTTTCGAAAAGAAAGTTTCGACCCTCTGGTGTATCCGCTGTGTACTTCGGAGAGACGTATACGTGTTTTGTCAAGAGGTTATAGTCGTAATGGCACCAGAGAATTCCGTATGTTTCTCATTTGTAACTGAAACCATTCTTATTTATCAATGGCACATTGTTCCGAGATGATACCTTTCGTCGCGTTGAAAATGATTGTCCTATCAAGTCGCAATATTTGTTTTGTTGACGATATAAGGACGATCGTTTTGCCACGTATGGCACTCCGAATATTGGGACCGTATTTTAACGAATGTCTACTCTTAACTGCACAATTATTTTTCTTTTGACAACACAGTTTAAATGTGTCATTTGCAATATACATATTTTTTAATTTAAAACGAAATCTAATTTTTTTAAAATATGGAACTGTGAAATATACATATTTTTTTTTAATTAAAAATTCAAATAAGTTGTAAATTTCTTTTATAATTATATGACTTTTTTTAATAATACATCGCAGCTTGTAATTTATACAAAATATTTATTTTTTTACAAATGCATATAATTCATGTTTATTCTGCAGGTCATAAAAATCAATAAGTGGGATGGCTCAGCTGTGAAAAATGCTTTGGATGATGCAGTCAAGGATGTACTTACAAAGAAATATAATTATATGGAAAATTTTAGTCTTCTTGATGGAAGATTGTTTCTCTGTGGGATTGCTGTTACAATAGCCATCATAGCATTGTTGTGCGATTACTTGTATCCATTCCCAGTTTCCAAACCTGTTTTAATAGCCTGTGTCTCCCTGTATTTCCTTTTAATGGGACTCTTGACTTTGTATACAACATACAAAGAGAAAGGCATATTTGTAGTTGCAATTCAAAGGTGAGTTTTATAGTGTGTGATCTATATAGAACTATTTTTATCGTTTATAAGCTTAATTTGTTAATATTGTAATATTTTTTTATTTAATGTATTGACTATTGTTTCATTCATTTAAATTCATTTTTTAATATTACAATATTAAGACAATTGTATATTAACATATACAATTGTCAGTATATAGAATGTTTGATAAAAATATAAATATTGTAGAATTATACAAGCTATCTCTCTCATTTTCAGAGACCCAGCAGGCTTCAACCCTGACATGATCTGGGAGGCCAGTTCCTACTTAAAAAAATATGATGATAAATATAATTTGATATTATCAGTTAGGAGCACATCAAACACAAACGTCCATGAAACAAGTGTGACTAAATCCGTCGCGAATTTCATTGATGTTAACGGTGTGGTGATACCAGAATTGATAGAAGCTGTAGTGACGATCATGCATGACAGCCTAACATTGCAACGCAAAGAAAAGTAGCAGCGTTCCAAAATTTAATCAGCAAAACTTGTTTTTCTGTGTGAATAAGCCTTCTTTTCTATGAAATTTTGTTATTTCACAGTTTTTCGATCGTATTCTAAGATACACGCAGTCCAGTTTCGTGTAGATAACACGTAAAAGTGAGAAACCGAGCATTTTCATCCTCCATGTGTGTATTATAATTATTATATTTAACAGAATCGAAAACAGACATAAATCTTCTTTTTTTTAGACAAAAAAGTTCAATGCATTTATTATTTATCCCTATACTACAAAATGACTAATAATCAAATTATCTAACATATATAATTTTTCGAAATGATCTATGAGATATGTTTTGAGGTAGTTTTCATTTTTTTTCTAACTGTATTCTTATTAATTAATGTGAATTTTTGAGAAGCTTAAAATGTTTTAATTTTCTTGCGCTATTTGCTATGTATAATATATTTTTTATAATAATCTGTAAAAAATCCTGAAAGATATTTATATTTATTTCTGTCAATGTTTGTTAATTTTAATATCAATTTAATTTTTTTTAAGTTTTAAAAGTTAAAAAAATAAAGAGTAAATTAAATGGATATTAAAACTGATCTGACATTGGTAGAAATAAATATGTGTCATACCAGAGAGAAGCATGAGAGCGATCATCCGGGCCTTTTTCAAGACATGGTTGAACTCGCCGCCACAAAAGTCTATAGTTGAGCCCGTGGAACTATGGCTATGGTCAATGTAACACTACAAATGCTTCGGAGCGTTTGATTGTCCAATCAAAACAAAGAATTTTACTAATGCACCAATCAAAAAATGCTTCAAAGCATTTATAGTAAGCTCTTGACCGTACCCTATAAGTCACATCTATTTTGCGACACTGCTGATAAAATCGTGTCTCGCGAAATAGATGTGGTGCGTATCCGTGTTACATTCATAATTGGGATGAAAAACGCATGTATAATTGTATATTTATATTTAGATTCGTGTAATTTTTCTCTTTATTAAAGCTTAAAAATTACACGAACATAGATATATAAATATATAGATGTAGCACGTAGTTACTTCGCTATAAGTTCAACTTGGTCGTATTTTTCAGCGTATCTTTGCTAGGCTGTATTCATCGAAAATCGATGGAGAGAGGGTAAAAATCTAGCTTTGCTTCGCTGCATGAAAAAGCAGCTTTAGGCTTCTCTTTGGCCATACTGTACACACCGCTTGAATAACTGGTGTAGATATAAATAGAAAGTACTATACGAAAATACTATTTTGTAGAAGACGATCGTTCTGGACGATTTCGTTCATTTTGAATGAAATTAGGCATTTAATTATAATTAAGTGAACAAATTAAGCTCGTGTTTTTTATAATTTTTTGAAAATGACAACACTCAGGCCTTTCACTTGCAACGACTTGTTTAAGTTCAACAATGTGTAAGTAATTTTTAAACAAGTTTTCTTTTCCTAACCTAAAATTCAATCAAATGCTAATTATACAATTTATTATTATGATTATATTTGTCATTTTTAGGAATCTTGACCCGCTCACAGAAACAGTATCCTTTATTTTACTTTATTGAAAATTGATAATAATTCATTATTGGCAAATTTTTTGTCGTTAATCTATTAAATTATTATGATAAAGAATTTGGTAATGTGAAAATTTTAAAGTTTTAAAATTTAAAGATAATGAATCCCAGGAAAGGATTATTTATTACTTCAAAGTCATTTTATTTGTAATTTTATCTAAATTCATTCATAATAAAGTTTTCATTCCAAAAATGTTACTATTGTCTGCTAAAAAATATTTTCATGTTATGAATTATATTTTGTCCAAATAATTTGAAATATTTCAATGTATGTTCCTTGATTTTTCATATTTCTACCTAGTATGGACTTTCATTTTATATGCATTACCTCTCACACTGGCCAGAATATATTCAAGTGGCAGAATCTCCAAGCGGTGAAATTATGGGTTACAGTAAGTTTATTTTCAATACATTTTTACGAGTCAAATTTAAGATTTTGATATTTAAAATTAATGTTGCTATTATTTGAAATTCATCCAAGTCATGGGGAAAGCTGAAGGTCATGGAGAGAATTGGCATGGTCATGTAACAGCTCTCACAGTTTCCCCTGATTATAGGAGATTGGGTCTCGCTGCAATGTTAATGAAATATCTTGAGGATGTATCAGAAAAGTAAATTATAACTTACTAGTTAACAAACACAGTTTATCTCAATACTTTTTATTACATATATTTTTATTTAAATCAGGAAACAAGCATATTTTGTGGATCTCTTTGTTAGAGTGAGCAACAAGGTGGCTATTACAATGTATCAACAGTTGGGATACATTGTATATAGAACAGTATTGGAATATTACAATGGGGATCCAGACGAAGATGCATATGGTAGAAGAATCTCTAAGAAATCTGAAGTAAATTTTTATGTGCATCAAACATAACACCTTTTTGTTTTTAGATATGAGGAAAGCCTTGTCGAAAGATGTAAAAAAGAAATCTATGATTCCATTAACACATCCTGTGAGACCAGAGGAGGTAGACTGAAAGTGTTGAAATTCACTTAACAATGACAAAAAGAAGAGTGAATTAGACACAAATTACTTGTACAAATTATCATGAAATCAATGATGACGTAAGAAATATATCTCGTATTAAAAATTTATAATGGCTCTCATAATGATCTTCTATGTATATTGTAATAATTATCGGATGTCTTTTTATGATCGTGCTTTTTATCAATGTATTTACAATCTTTTAAGTGAGAGATAAAAGATGATTCGACAATCTCTATTGATGTCTGTAAAATTGTATTAATGTGCAGTTTATTTGTTCTTCTGTACAATAGTACACAATGTTTTCCACATGTTCTCACTCGTACCTCTCTTTTTTTCATACGAATAAATAATAAATATAAATGTAGGATGTGTGAGATATAGGCTCGGTATGCGATCCAGATAGAGCTCGACTGTGTAAATCACTAGCTACCTATTTTGATTCTACTAACTTTTTAGAAACGCAAGTTTGTCTCATGATATTTACACGAATGAATAAGTAATACGTGTACGAGTCCTTCGACTATGTCATGATACACGGGTGCTAATCACCCACGCGATAGTAATTCGATATCGCTTCGATACATTATATAAAAAATTAAGGACAAAATGTCATTCTTGCATATCTTTGTACTGCTCTCAATAGTCTGAGGTTCGAGTTATTCGTACAAACATTCACAATATGCTAAATGAAGCTGAGTATATGCACGCCTTAGTTCCCGTCTACGTTTTTTTCAGGAGATCGCAAAGACGTCTGAGATTTTTCACGAAACATTTTCCGGACATCTTGCGGAGATTCTTCGAAAATTGAATCCGATCCGAATTGAATCCAATTGAAAAATTGAAATCCGTTATCTGGTTCATCTTATTCGTTCGGGCACGAAGTAATCTCGAAACTTACAAAACGTAGAAGTCTTGTACGTATTGCACGTAAGCCCTACTTTCAGCTCATAATTTGTAACCGCTAGAAGGAAGACGTTTACTAGTTATGTAGGACACGTCGAACGCGAGTACAAAACTTCTCTCTCTCTCTCTCTCTCTCTCTCTCTATTCTCACCTTCTATGTATGTATACAGACAATTCTAATCGTTACGTATGTTTTAATACATAGTGTTGCACACGTACGTGTTGCGCAGGAACGCATTGTTAATTGTCAAGTAGTAAATCACGTTCCCAATTACATCTATTTGGTCGTGTTCTGTAAACAAAGAAAAAACCACGTAATCGTGTATGCCTTAAATAAATATCAGATACGAGACTAGTTATCAAAATTATGTAATGAGTATATCGGATTTTTCTTTGCTGATCGATGTATTCACTAGCATATAAGAAGCAAATCCAAACAACTTATTTATCTAAAAAACATCTTCAAGAAGTTTTTAAAATATTATAATATCTATAAGACATCTTAAAATGTCAACATTTTCTGACAAAGAAACGGGCATTCGACGATAAGAAGAAAGTAGTCAGTCTCTTTTTTTCCCAATGAATGAAATGTAAAATAATCCATTTGTTATATCAATTCACTATTCTAAAATATATTATGTGACTGTTAAAATAAAATTAAATCTTCCTTTCTCTCTTAATTTTAAGATTTCTTTTTTGCTCAATCTATCACAAAAAATCGAATCTAATTTCGAATAAATTCAAATATACAATTTTAAATATTTAAATTCTCACACGCATAGCTATAATCTTTAATAATAAAGTTAAATCTTTAATATTTTATTTAATTTCAAATAAATCTAAATCCGTAACAAAAATAAATTTATTTTTATAAAATAAATGTATATAAGTAAAATTGATGATTTGTCTAGTAAAAGTAGACATACAACAAAATTGTTAGATAAAATTAGAAAAGATTGATAATATGACATAGCGATAACATTCATATAGGATATATTAGAGGTATTCCGTTCGTTAAAATTGGGGAAGAACGCATCGCTGTGAGATATATTCCTAAACATTGAATAACTGATATATAATATATACACGATACGGTATGAATGCATCACTATTACGCAATATTTTACGTCTTTTTATCATTTTTATGTTTTTAATTTGATATATAAATACGTAGCAAAAGTCTCAACATGTGATACTTAGCTGCGGGATGAAACTATTCGATGTGTAATCGCGCATACTAATTAGGCAGTGTTACAGATCGATTCGATTCGATTTCAACTGCTATCTAAACCTCCAGCCTTCGTAGTTAGCTTTTACTTATTGTTAAATATTTACACAGACATATTCTTACAAGCATCGATACTATTTATACATGCACATATGATATAAACGTAAACATGATTCAAACTTGACTGCGCGTTTTGTAGAAAAAAAAAAATGATGCACCGCACGTCAATGTATGATAGTAATACTGCACTTTTTACGCTGCCTTTATATATAATACAACCGACAAAAAAAAGTATGCATCGCAATTAGATCTCCACATGTATCGATATATTCCCATTGTCTTTTCAAAAATTAATATGACCAGGTTTTTTCATTAAGGTCTTTGGTGATCCGGCGTCGACTTCAATATATCAGGTTGAGTTGGAAGACAGCTTGAACCTGCAAAAATAAAATTTATTAGGCTTGATTCCCGCAAAACTTTATTTTTAGTTTTTAACTTATTATTAAAAATTAATTCTGGAAAATCAACTATCACTTATCATTCATAATTAAAAAAATCGCTACTACTTGTTCTATTTATCAATTTTCAAGACAATCTCATATAATTATAATTTTGTAATACGTTTAGTGTCAAGAAAACAGAATCCTCTTTCTCACTGACCAGTCGCAGGTCTCAAAGTGGATTTGATGGACCGATGTGATCCATTGCGTGTTAGAGTATTCATTTGTGGAGTACCAGGTAATGCATGGCCCAGCGCATTCATATAGTCGGCAATCAATAAAGTTATTTCCAAAATCTGAAAATATTATGTCGATGTGTGGATAAAATTAATATTTTTCTAAATCATTAGCTTCCCATAACATTTACAATTATACGCACTTTGGGTTTAGAAAGCGCAAACAACAATTTCTGTTCAGCTGCACCTTCATCTGGACAAGCAACGAGCATAAAATCATCGAGACATCCACCGAACGTTACTATATTCGCATAATTATAACGGCACATAACAGCCATCGTTTGCAATTCGAGCAACGTTACACTGTCCTCAGAAACTGCTATCCAAACTGTCACGGGATCGGCTTGCTTTAACTAAAAAAATAATTTTAGAATAAAGTCAAATCACACGCATATATAATATCATCAAAAGATATCATAATTTGTTATTAGGACCTATTAATACGATCTTATATTTGTAATTATAAAATATTTATAATAACATCATTATACTTTTGCTTGGTACAGGGTAGCTCCGAAAAAAGCCCACTTTCTAGTGCATGTGAGATATATGCGAACGCAATCCAATATGCTACGTCCTTTCAAAGCGATCCACTTTTCCTGCAGCTTCTCCTGTAATTCTCTGACGGATTCAAAATAATTTATTAGAAAAAAGCGGGAAATATTTTAATATAATATTTAAATAAATCTTTTATTAATATTGAATTATGAATATTGAGTTATTAAACATTTACCTCAATTGATCGGTGGTAATATTAGTTCGATAGCGTATTGGATAAAATTTGTCCAAAGCTTGGAGTACAAGATGGTGTGGATTATTTCCAGGACCGCTGCCACGTGCTTTATCATTGTTATATTCTCCAAAATCAATCTGTAAAATAATTAAATAATAAAAAATAAATTAATTACATTACCCTTTACAATAATTAATATCACAAAATAAACACATTTATATATTATATATTTACAATATATATTGTAAATATACAAATATGTATTGTGTATACAATATATATATATAATTATATTTAAAATATATTAAAGTAGATTGTACCTGTGCCATCAATGACGCTAGTTCGAAAGCGAGTTCGCGGGTTGAAGGAAATTTTCCTTGCACAACTTGCTGATTCACTTGGTAACATAACAGAAGCCTCTCTTTGTCCGTTTCCATTTTAGCAGCTTGCCGCCAGTAGCAACGGGATTTGTACGTCAATTGTATCACTCTAGTATTTTCGAATTTTCCCGAGCCTTTCTCTCGTAATGCCGTCTCCCATTTCGAGATAATATCACATAGCTATGAAGCAAAATTTGTACTAAGTCTTAAAGATTGAAATAAGATGAAAAGTTCATTCTAAAATCTTTAATTTTATAAGTTTTATTTTATTTAGAGACACAGTATAAATCCAATTTTATTAATCCAACCAACATAATGTTTCAATTATTTTCTTGATAATCTAATTTCCTTATAATTTAGTCTTATAATTTACTCTTTTATATAATAAATAATCTTGCGTGATATGAATGACTTCAACAGGCAGCATGATAGGATGAATTTTTTCAATTTTCACAAACCTTCGCTTCTGGATCGATAAAATGCTCGAGATCCTTTTCGATCGGGTCATCGCTAAACAGCGTGAAGCCAGATTGATGAACATCCCTGCAGCCGATCTCTTGATTCAGGGTGTTCAGAAATTCCTCTATCGTAGTACTACCATCAAAACTTACGACTTGATACGTGCCATTCAGGAAGTGGACTGGTATAGCATGCGGCAACGAATGGTGATACGGATTCTTCATTAATATCGACAATACTTCCATCCTCGATGGCTTCACTTCTCTACTACCATTTTGTAATGTTCTCTCCAAAGCTCTCTCACAATAAGCCGCATACTTGCCGCATTCCGTTCTGATGTAATACAACATAACGTAATGTGATGCAAAATAAATTAATAATGATAAATTTAAGATTAAATTTATCATTGCAGAAAAAGTTTTATTATAATTTTTTTTAAAGTAATATCAGTAGTGCATGTAAAAAAATTTCTAAAAAGTTCTAAAAATTTTGAGATAACTAGAGTTTGTATTTTATAAAATTTATATTTACGGGAAAAGAAAATGTATGTATCAGATTTTTATGAAAAATGAAGCATCTAAAAATCTACAAAAATATACTGAAATTCATGAATCTTGCAAGCCCATTTCACAAAAGCTTTAATATTTTTATTAAATAAAAAAATTTTCTACCTTAAAAGTTTCAAAAATTGATTTAAGATTTTTATATATTTATCTGATATAATAAGTCAGAATAGTGAGTAAATAATTGTCAGAAGTCGCTCTCCTTCTTAAAGGAGAGACTCCTCTTCTTATTTTCCTCTGTGATTCAAGAAAGACTTTCTTCATATTTTTCTCTGCAATGATCCTTGCACTTGAAACCACTCTCTCACTCACTTGCTGTCAGCGTTTCTCTGCAGGTGCAGTTTCAGGTACCATAGTAGCCGATTGTTCTTGGGCAAGAAGAGGGAAACGGCGAGCGCCAGGAGCTGCCATCCCTGGATAAGCACATACTGTGCGGGATTAGTTTTGCAGTCCAAGATAGTTGAGGTCGAATGGCCCTGCGTGAGCGGAGGACTGTGAGAAGTCGAGGCCGTTGATTGCGCGTCCGCATTTTCACCGCTGCCATTTGCCGCGGGACTTTGCGTATCGCAGGTGAAGAGCGATTGCGTGGCGCAGAGGAGGAGCTGCTGCAATGGTATGCTGGCATACTACTGCATCCCGGTATACATACTCAACCAATCCTAGCATACTACTTCTGGGTCGTCAAAGGGTAAACGCGGCACATTTCACGAGCGACAAAATGATCCCGACATTTTTATTGCCATTTCTCTTGTCTCTTTAATTATTTACTCTTTTTCATTATTTTCTTGATCTATCATTTTGCAAATGGATATTCATTCTCTATATGTATGCATAGATATTGCGTTTTGCATCGTGAATGTATACATATATCTTGCGAAAAATCAGCGAAATTTAAAAAAAAAAAAAATAACAGAATTATTAATTTTGCCAAATCGAATTTCTGTTTTTCGAGAAAAAGCGAGAATTAGTTTTTTTAGGACTTCTGTCTTCCATTGTACTCCTTTTTATTCTTATAATATTAGTTACTTATATAACAAGTGATTCAACAGATAATCTTTATGATTTAATTAAATATCCGGTGCAACTATGATAATTTATTTTAAAAATTTGAAAAAATTGATTTATATATAATTTTCTCTCCTAAGATCAATCTTTTCTATTTATTTTGTGATATAACAATACAATTTAAGTGCACAATGTGCAATGTAAAGACAATTACAAAGTTTCTTACTAAATAAAATTGATGTTTGATATTATTATTTCTTCTTAAGTAAAACTGAAAAAATAAAATATTGTAAAAATTGAAAAGTAAAATAAAAAAGCAAAAAACTCTTGAGATCACTTCCTGACTTCGAAAATTAGAAATTCGCAATTTTGGAGAATAAGTTTTAATTAATTTTCTTTAATTAACTGATTTTTCACATGACATGTGGATCTTTATGTCTCATTAAAAATTTGCACTAAAAAATATATTTGACTTGAATCTACAAAATATATTAATCGTATTTCGATAGTAGTTAGTTAGTAGATAAGCACGAGAAATCGAAATTTCAACGCACAATTCTACGTGTTAATTGAATAAAAACGCGTATTCGATATAAACCCTCAAAATCGCATGAAAATTAAAATGTGTGAATGAGAAAAGCTCTTAGGCTCTTAAGCCGCGTGAATCTACCGTACCAACTGTAAAGCATTACGTTTACGTTCGTTGACGTTACATGAGACGAGTGACGTTCTCTTTCTCCACAAGTTTTACGTCTAGCAATGCAAAACATATTCATGTACTCAGTTTCCTTTTTTTTTCAATAAAGTTGAAAGGAAAGTAGATAGGAGAGGAAAAAAAAAGGATATCAAAAAGGAAGGAAAGGGAATAGAAGCAATATATACTTCGAAAGTTGTCTATGAAACATCCGAAAGATGTCTCACAGATTTATATCATTTTCTAGACATCTTTCAACATCTTCGTGACATTTTTAGACGTTTGTATTGTCTGGGAAGATGTATGTAGGATTATAAATTTTATTATAATCTATTCCGGTAATAAAAATCTAAATCTCTAAGCAGCATTCAAACAGAGAATATCCAAGTAACTATGAATTGCAGCTATTATAAAAAAAAGGAACTCGTGTGAAAAATTAGAAAAAAAAGAATTTAAAAATGTTTCTTTCTGTGTGTGTCCTCATGTACACCAACATACCATTCTGCAAGTGTGTGTGCGTGACGCGGAACGTATTTTGACGGATCTCATTCAAAAAATGTTACATCTTTGTACATTAGGTTTAATAAATATGATCGATAGACATTCATGTGTGTCAATTATAATATTATCATAATCGTCGAAATATGTTCGGCTCACATGATAGGCGTTAGGGTAATTTGATCGGGTATGATGTATAAATATTAAAGTATATGATAAAAAGTAAATGAAACTTAACACCCTCGTGATGCCTAACAGAATTGTAAAATGCATGCGATTGAAATAGTGAGAATCTAAAAGACAGCACACTTAAAGCGGCAAATAAGAATTAAATGTGTGAATGATTGTTAAAACTAAAACAGTAGTTGAACTTGGTCAAGTATTATAGCGGCGATAAGCGGCGTATTTTTTGTCGTTAAGTATTATTAAAGTGCTATTTTTAGTTGGACCACTCCGTTAAACCACTACTCAGTATCTACGCCCGGGAGGAATTATGTCTTGTAATACTTGACTAAGCATACCTAGTGTACCATTTTCCGCATTGAAAGAAATATAGTCGAATGATTGAGACTGAAAAAGTTCAATGATGCGATATGAAATACAGATGAGATCCATTCGAGTTTGAAAAAAAGAACGGACAAATCGATGAGTATCGCTTTAACTTCAAAAATGGTACAGGATGGTTGAATGTCGTTTTTGTTAAACAATAAGCAGGACTTACAACGCGCGCAGTACCCAGTGACACAAGTCTGGCGGCCTTTTTTACCTGTACGCCCAAACGGTGTTGCGTGTGACGACTTGTCTGCTTTACCAATGCGCATATAAATTCAGACTGAAGTTCAGGTTGGTCTAAGCATTGTTGTAATGCATTTTGTGCTAGAACCACATGGTAGTCGATACCTGCTTGTTCTACTGCCACCGACATAAACAGCTGACAGGCCTGTAGACGTGTAAGACGTGTAAGATTATTCTAGTGATCAAGTTTGTTCCTTTTAACCTTTTGTTATATATATGTATACATTTTTTTACATTTAAGATTAAGTAAATTCAAGTACATTTAGAGAAAAAAGAAAAAAGTGTAGAAAATATAGCTAGAAGAATTCATTTAGAATAGAATATTATTAATTGTTAAAATAGTTACTTTTCAATCATATAAAAATTAAATAGAAATTCTTTATAAATTTCAAAAAGTTTTATGTTTAAAATAAAACAAATATATCTATATTAAAAAAAAAAAAAAAAACAGAAAAGAGGAAAATATATAAAAATCACAAAAGCTCTGAAAGCATCGCAAGATTTAATATGATAGAACATTCGAAATAATTAAAAACTTTGTTATTTATGCAAAAACAAGTATCAGAAATTTAACGCAAATCGCAAATAAATCGCGAAAGAATCGATAAGGGATCGTGTCAACCTTGAAGAGTTTTATGGCTTCGGTTTGCAGAGATTCAGAAGTCAAGCTTGTCAGCGGGCTCGTAATGCTTTCTTTCGTGTGTAGCAGCAAGGGATGCCGCCATAGCACACAGCTGGGATCACCGTCAGTTTCCATCAGTCTTTGCACCAGTTGCTCGTACTGCGTACCCGCACTTGGTCCACCGCCCGATACTACTGTCAGATGGTAGAGCCAATTGTCTTTATCCTGTTTATGCGGCATCAATAAATAAGTTGGACCTTGATGCGTCGGAAAGATGCCAATTGTTCTCTCGTGTGGGCATTCAGCATCTCTCTCTTCGCTATCACTATCCGAAACATGTTCCACTTCTTCCACTCGAGCATCTCTCATATTGATTTGGCCGATAGGATTCTGATAGTGATTCGAAAGATAAATCAAATATATTTTATAATGAGTACAAAATAATGAGTACTTAGTGAAATGTTTAAAAATACAATCATGTAATTGTTCAATAAATAAATTTGTTAAAATATAAATAAAATATAAATTTAGACAAGAAACAATCAATGAATAATTTTAAATTTACATACAATAATAAATTTGATAATAATTCGATTAATTAAATCATTATAAATTACATACATATTATTAATTTGAATTGATAACAAAATTCATTAACAACTGTTGTATCTTGAAACATATCTGATGTTATATGATTATATACTTTTTATACTCACCGTATCACTGGGACACTTAAAGTAAAGGAACATCTTGCCGATAAGCACGCACCAACATTTTTTTGCGTGGCCGTTCTTCACTTTTGTCAACCAACCCTGTATCGTCGGCTTATTATCTTCCCTACTGAGCAAGAGTTTTGTCGCGTTTCTCCTCTGCACGTTTTGCAGTACTCTTATCCAATCTTCCATTGTGGCAATGCAATCCGCGGTCAAGTAATAAGTTTTTTATCTGTCGCTATTTCAAAAGTGGCAGCTCCTTCAAGCTACTGTTAAATACCTAGGAAAACAACACAAAAAATATATAATAGCGAATTTGAAATAAATAAAATTAAATGTAATAAAATATAACGATTAATATTAAATATCTAAGTAAAAACTTTTTTCTTAAATTTTTTGTAGATTTTTTTTATATTGCGTTCTTTATGTTGTGTATTTTCATTCATAAAATTTCTTCTCTCAATAATCTGAATTAATTTCAGATTATCTTTAGTATTCCAAGTTTAAAGTATTTTGCTTACCTGCATACTTCATCCAAGATTATTTGGCCTTGAGGTTTCCGGTTGACATCGTTTTGACTCTTCCAATATGTTAATACACCATTTTTCAGCACAAACCATCGTTTCCGCCAAGTTTTTAACTTGCCGCCTAATTTCGCTAGATGACCCGTTTTTTCCAGCGATTCTTGTCTCTTTGGACTTTCGCCAGAAACACGCATTAGTAGACTAGGCATGCTAGATTCTAGAGATGTTGAACTTAGTGCATCAGGAGGTATTGCATAATCCTCGGATAATCCTGACTCAAGAGATGTATCTGCAAATCAAATGAATTTAAAGTTGTTGGATGTCGGATTTTGTATTTAAATTTCAATAAATTTCAATAAATTCAATAATTTTTGGATTAATGATTTATCTTTCTTTGCGTTTTTTTATTTTTCTATCGATCTCTTTTTTTTCTCAGTCGTGAAATATAGAAATAATTACGATTACAATTAAGTAATATATTATAAACAGACAATTGTATATAATTAAATTGTAATTATTATATTTATAGCAATAACAATATTAATAATTATTATTTATCATTTTTTTTGTTTGAAAAATAAACATAATTATTTGAAAAATAGTATAATTGTTAGAAACTTTTAGTTATTACATGAGCGTAATAAAAATTTCATAGAATGTTAAATGCTATCTCAAATTTTATTACAAAATAGATAAAAAAAGAATATTATGTTAAACTCTTAAGAATATTATGTTAAACTAAACTCACCACGTTTTACGCTTTTACTAGGAGACCCGCTAGAGCTTCTTTTCGCGGGACTGAGACTACTAGTTGTTTTGATACTTTTTGAGGGACTGCTTCCGCTACCAAGCGAGGAATCCGTATTGTCAGACGAGCTATTAGTAATTCTAGTATTAGTTTCGGTTTGATTCGGATGTTCCTCGCCATCCGAACTGTCATCAGAACTATCACCGAAAGGTATAGATCTAATTTGACTAGCACGTCCTGAAAAATCGATGAAGATAAATATCATAAAATTATACATACTATTACAAAAGTGATAATTATTATCTTTTATTTTTACTTTTTGCGTATTTTCATAGCTAATTTTAGAAATTTTATCATATTATTATTATTTACCTTTAACAGTGGCGTATACTGGAACAGAAATATCGCAGTATCCTTGAGAATTGTGTGCTGTCAAGTTATGTCCCGTAGCTTGAGAATGTTTTGACGAACTCGTCGTTGTAGTCATCGTGGAAGGTGCAGATTCCTCGTTTGTCGGTGGACCAATACCAAGCCCACCGTCTGCTACCTGTAAATGATCTCGAAGCTATTAATATCATTTCAGAAATTAATGAAGAATATAAAAAAAAAAAACGTATATTATTTTGAAATTTGATTAATGCGTCAGTGCAATTTTTTTATTTGTATACGTTTTCAGAGAATCGAGACTAACGTTGTCGTTACCTGATATATTTTCGCCTCCCAGCTGGGAAACCTGTGCAACGGCGGGGTTGGCGGGCGAGGTCCTTGTCCGCTTCCCTGCAACCAGTTCATACCCTCCCGACTGGGTGTATATATCTCGGCATAATCGTGCACCGCTTCCGAGCTTCCGCTGTCTCTGCTCGCCTCCGAGACACCGGATATATTTGGCAGCATCACCAGATTCTCCACCGCCGCGGCTAGTTCCTCGGATAGTAAACTAAGAGAGGATAAAGAGAAGCGGCAAGTATAAAGCACAGAATCAATTCAATTATCTTCTGTATGGAATGTTGCGTATGTGCGTGTACGTCTTTAAATTCCGTTACTATTCATAAATTTTATTCAAAATCTTATGAGATATCATGCTACATTGTTGTTAATGTAATAAATATAATAAATCAAATGTATACGTAATAATAAAAAATGTAATAAGGGAGAGGGACGACGGATCCCCTCAGGAAGTCCCAGGACGTTACAGGGTACCACATTTCGAAAACTCGGGCGCCGCTATCACGTCGTGAGGCCTCCCAAGGAGAATCGAGATACGAGTGCCGAATGCATTTAGTGTGTCCGTTAAAGTAGCGGGGAGAGTGTTTAGTCTCGTAAGAACGCGATCCCGAGGGCAATCGCGCGGAAGTTTTACCTTGAATCCATATTGGTGGTCGCGATTCCACGTTGGATAGTGCCGCAAGCGGACAAATGTCTCCGGTGCTTTGTGCTCGTTTGCGGTTCCGCCACGATATTCTGCACGCACTCCGGTGCCGTCTGCGGAGTACCCTCCAAACTCTCCGATCGTCTGCGATCGATACGTAGAGTGGGATCTACTTCCAGGGATAAAGATGCCCTCGTCGGTGCCTAAATTTACAAAATTTCTCATTAATGTATGAGAGACGAAAAAATTAATCGGGATTCGTTTCTTCATTTATTATCCGCGACATTTAGTCTGCATGACTACGATGATTCCTCTCCGTTAACTGTTTATTATGTATGTTTCCAATTTTTAACTATTTGAGAATTACTCACAGCTTATATGGCTATTCATTTTTCCCGCAAAATTCTAATTAATTTCTTACATATGTGGGAATTAGATTATTCCAGGAATTAGCAAAATTAAGAGCCGACTCGAAAGAACTTGAACTCGAGAGTTTTTATTGAGAAAAGAGCTATTTTCAAGTTGCTATATCTCGAAAACGAAACATCACATTGAAACGAACCAAAGTGCATTCTAAAACTAAAAATTAATACTTTAGCGTGCCATTAGTAAAATTTAGAAAAAAAATTTCATACTGGAACTACATTATGAAAACTCTGAAAATTATTGTTTTTAACAATAATTTTCTCGTTATGCCATATTTTTCAAAAATATAATGTGATTGCTAAATTTGGACAATGAATTCGTGTTCAGCAAGCAAAAATACATCGGAAATGATTATTCGCATTTGTGTTACAAAAAAAAGATAAAATTTTGTTGAATAGTAATTAATCTCTAATCCTGTCATCTAATTGATCTTACAATTCTATATTTCCTATAATTATATTTGTCAAATTTTCATTAATGCTTCATTAATGCTATAAAATTGATCAAATAATTTTTTGTCGAAAACATTTAATAAATATCTTCCAAAAGTAATATTTCTAAAAGTTAATCCTAATATTTAAAAAATGCTAGTTACAAACTATTCTAAGAAACTTACGGGAGGTTTGAGTCCGATATTGGTTATATGATTGCGCAACAATTCGAGTTGCTGGTTACACTTGTTGTTTTGTTCTCTCAGATGTTGATTCTGTTGTTCCAGTTCCCTCAACTTATTAGTAACCCATTCCTTTATCCGCGCTGCTTTCGCTTCCACTTGCCTGGCGTCTTGCAACCGTAATTGCCTCTGTAAACGAACGATGACTGATTGATAACACGATAGTGCGATCCCACCCATTCGAATAATCATCAAATATATCAAGAGATAATTTCAAGCTCTAAGAAATCGCGGATATAGCACGAATTGCGATTCGAACAAATCGCGTAAAAAAAAAACGATAGACGTAATATTTTTATTAAATATAAATTGATATCATTATTAAATAAATATTCAAATCGTTATTTAATAAGTAACACAATTATTTTATATATGTATATATATCTTTTTATTGATTTATTTAAAATTGCTCTTCAAACTTAGTTGGAGTTCCCCGATAATTATAATAGAGAAAACTTTTTTTTTTATCTCGGCGAGATAATTTACGATAATTTGTATGCCAAGATATTGTTCCGAGATGCGCTTCTCGACGCTATTAAATACTTTTCTGACTAGCTACTAGTAGAACTACGTTTTACCTGTTCCTCGACTTGAGTTTCTAACTTCGAGATGCAGGCACAATGAACCTCCTCGATCTTGTCATTCTGCGTGCCGGAGGTCGACGGCAGCGAATGCGGCGGAGAACCAACGCCGGATGTGCTGAGGCAGTACTCACCCTTCACTAGCCGCTCCTCCATCATCCGTACCTGAAATGGACAGAGGGTGAGCGAGCGTTCGATGCTTATATTAATGTTACACTTCCCGAAGGCGTCGAATTCACCTTACAAATACCGAACAATACCGACGACGTTATCTAGATTTAATCGCCAGTGAATCACCTGTTACTTCCACGAACTCTTTGATCAATTCAAAATCGCTCTTTCTTTAAAAATAAAAATTTCAAGAAGAGATCAAAGAGATTAATTATCGCTGACGGAAAACTCATTGTAAATTTTATTCAGAAAATTTGACTAATTATAAGGTAAATTCGTTTGAAATTAAATAAATGGAGAATAAAGGTTTATTATCTCTTTGCATTTTTAAAACTTAATTTCTGAAAAGTTTTTTATTTTCAATATTTAGTCTCTAGTCTAGTTTATTTTAGTCTAGCTTTAGTCTAGTTTATTTTAATTTTATTATTAGGTAAAAATTGTTATGTCGTTATATAAGAAAAATGCGCTTATATATAAATAAATATTTGTAAATATATTTTTGAATATTTTGCTTTACATTTTTGGATTGAAATAATTTATATAATAATTTACCTAAGAAATTATTTATGATTCACGTATATTTCCTAGAGTGCTGTCAAGTAATCTCCAAGAGCATCCAATTTCGCTAATAGAATAAGTACCTTTATCGCTAATAAAAACCGTATCGTATCAAATGATTGATGAAGAACTTTTACTTTGCAAATAATCCACGAATCATCAAAGTCACTAAATGCTTATCGGAAGCTCTTATTCAATCATAAAAGTATCATTGTTTGAAACGAATAATCGTGAACTAAAGATACAAATTATCGAAGAAAGAACCTGATAGTTTGTAAATAATCGCTGCCAAAAGACATTAAATAATTAGAAGTACGATAAATTAGAGGTATGACAGATTAGTTAGATGATATTAGAAATATGATAGATAAAATAATCGCAAATCGAGAGAAGTATCGGAGCGTATTGATTAATCGCGTACTCAAATAGCTACCGAGGAAATTTGGGTAACTGCAAATAATCGAGAACCGATAACACTAAAAGAAGAATATTCGAGTACGTTGAAGCGTAATACTTCGGACTTCGAGGATCGGAAGGCTCATCACGCTCACGATTAGCAGCAACGAGCGTGTCTCGATCTCTCTGCGAAAAATGCGGATCGAATTCGCGCGAGTGCGTACG